GCTACATCTTGACAACATTTTGTACTTTTCAGCAGATGAAGTTTGGGGATGCCTGTGAGACTGTGAAGGCAAAAGCACAGAGACTCAGCAGGACATAGCTAAGGGGGAATGACAAGTAAATACATCCAAAGGGACACGAACAACCCAGGAGGGTCAGGATATGTTTTGTTTTGTTTTGTTTTTAATCACAAATAAAAGATTATGGATGTATAAGAGAGTTTGAGTTTCTTATTACTAAAGAGTTTAAGAATGGTAATATTTTACAAGAAAAAATAGAGCAATAGCAACCAAAACATATTAAAAGCATATCACTTCATTGTAAATTCAAATAGTCTAAGCTGTTCCAGGTATTTTCAAACATTTCATGTTTTAATTGGATTCCCAGGCAGATACCTTAGAGTCAACAAGTCACAGCCACTTAATCTTGTATTGATTTTCTAAGATGCTTCCTGTGACTATGACGACCCTAAATCAATTAAGTCCTTGTAAGAAGCAAGATAATTCTTCTCTTTTCTTTCCAACGAAGCTTGAATACTTTATGCCCACAAAAATATCTGACGTTGCCTCTTACCTATCAAGGAACTGCACTGTGTTGGTAAAAATATTTTCTGCCTTTCATTTTTAAAAAATGTTTGAAGATTCTGTACAGAGAAAGCATACAGAATTGCCTTGGATTGATATAATGAACGGCTTACCAAGCAGTGGTTGTGTTGATAAAAGTTCTCTTTGGATATCAGAGAAGCACCTTGCCCGTGGCCTTCATCACGGGGAATTGGGGGGTTGGTAGTCACTCAAGGAGACCACTCAGTGGGAAGAAGAAAGTGGTTCCGCCACTCAGTGTCAAAAAAAAGTACGAGGCCAGCCATTTATGATTATGTTAGTATTGCACTATCCCAGTAAAGAAATTGCACCTGTATTAATGTGAGAGGGCTTTGGTGTGGGAGAGGGAAGTTACTAACCTGAGCCTACCCACCTTTTCTTAGGCACAGCCCTGGAAACAACAAGGCAGGGAGAGTGGGAGGCACCAACTATTGGGTGTAAGATCGGCTCAAGGATGTACTGTACAAACAGGGAATATAGCCGATAATTTATAATGACTATAAATAAAAAGTAACCTTTAAAAATTCCATGAAAATTTTTTAAAATTTTAATTTAAAAATAGATTAGAAACAAGATTTAAGAAAGATATTGGTCTATGGAATCATACAACCTGGCCGCAAGCCTTGATGTGATGTCAGTTGAGAAACTCAGGTAAGTGTCTTAAACTCCCTGGAGTTTCATCATCTGTCCTACAAAATGGGATCAATATAGCTATCTCCAAGGTGGTCTGGGAATTCTCTATACTGAATCCCTCCTCCTTTGACCCAAGTCAATTCTTCTTCCCAAGAGATCTTTCCAAAGCAGAGGAGTGACCGGGTCACTTTCCTGTCCCAAATATCCTCATGTCTGGAGAACACGGGCCCCAAGCCACTTAGCATGTCACCCTCCATCCCCTAGAGCCAGGGGTCAGCTGACCTTTCCCAGAACATCTCTGGTCATTTGCTTCAATTCATTTCTCACTCCAGCCATATCAAAACAGGTCTAGAACATATTTTTCAACCCTTTATAGCTGTATGTTTGTTCAAATCACCTCCCCAAAGTTTTCCTGCCAAAACATTCTTCCTGTCCTTTTCCACTTAGCAAACACTTGCTCATCCCTCAAGGCCAAGGCTATCTCTATGATCACCTCCTTTCCAAATGAGCCTGGAGCTTTTTCCAAAGGAGGCAAAGATTAATTTTTACCAGGTGAAACAATTTCAGTTTTTGTTTTGCATCTAACATGCAAATATCTAGATGCTATTTAACAGCAAAGTGAAGTGATTTTTTTAAAAATGCCATCTGGGTATCTATAATCTGAGCACTAAAAGCAAAATATGATATTATTCAGATTTCCAAAGTCAATCATCTTTAAGTCTTCACAGTCTAAGTAGTCACCGAATTGTGAGAAACCAGCACAGATACAGAAAAAACATGCCACCTGAAAAATGAGCTTATCCACATCAATTACTTTCATCATTAATATTACCTGCTATGCTCAAGATGTATCGTTTCTAAAATAATAGTTTAAAATTGGTATAAATGGATAGACTGACACCCAAACAAGTGAAGTAATCTGCCCAAATATTTGATATATGGCAGAGTTGCCATCCAAACCCAAACCCAGATCTGTCTGCCTCTATAGCCCATTCTGGTTCCACCCTTCAACACCGTCTCTCTATTGCCCTTGTACTGTGGTGGGTCTCAGAGCCATGGTCTAGGTGTCTTTCTCCAAAGTATGAGGTACTGTCTCTAGCTGGTTCACTCAAAATACTCTTACTTGAGGAAAAGGGGGATTGTTGTGTGTGGACAGACAGGTTATACAGTCACCTCAAAAGGAAGAAACATTAGTCATCTTCAAAAAACAGTTACATCCCATTAATAATACACATCATTAAAGGAAGTGTCCTCTCTGGCACTAGACTCATTGGTAGCTTTCCTTACTTTTGATCCAATCTCCTAGAATATTTTTTTATGTTTGTCAAAATAAAAGTAACATATTATAGCAGGATGATGGAATGATATAAATCATACTGAGTTATTAAAAATATTCTCACCTCTTAATTTCCCTGACTGGGTTAACTGGAAGGGGTTTATTACTGTAGTGATGGTGGTGGTCTAGGTGATGGCTGTAGTTGTGTTTAACAGCCTAAAATTGTGCATATATATCTGTACTTCAAAAATTTTCTGGTCTTATGTTAATCTCAAAAAAAAGTTTATTCATGTTCTGCATGAAACATGTATCAACACACAATATTTCTCACAATGCAAATAATGCAAAATTAAAGTCTTGATTAGAAAAGTCAGAAGATGTTACTTCAGCATAAGACTAAATATGAAGTTCTGCAAGTCACAATAGAACATTTTTAGCCCATCTTATATTCCTATTCAAAATCACCACTGTTTTTAGATGTCAATATAGACATAGACACAGATGTAGACACAAGGCATTTAAAAAATCAATTGGAACTAGAGAAAACTTGTGTTTAAAAGTTAGTAACATGGCAAATTTATTCCTAGGAAGAGCTTCCTTCTTTTAAGTGACTTCCCAATTGGTAACCAGGAAAACCAACCCTGCTTACTCAGTCTGGGTCCTGGGAGAAAGGAAAGGGGACTGAGACATTGATGAGATTGGAATAGAGACTGGGAAGTTCAGCATGGTCCCTGCAGGCAGGTGGGGGACAATTTCCCTCTCTAACACAAGCACAGAGGTTTAATCTGACTGTAGTTCCTGTTGGGCTGACTCTCAGAACTTAAAAAAAGTTCTGATCACGGCCACAGGTAGTGGGGAAGCTCCCAAACATGTCCGAGGGGTTGGTTTTTGCCTCTAGTAATGACTTACCACATTGCTATTAAATGACTCTATAAAGTGAGTAAATTGGCAAATAGCAAGATACTGAGTCTATCCTTGAGGTGTTCTTTTTCAACTTTTTTTTGAAATAACATGAATTCTCCAGTCCTTCGTGTGCTGAAGGCCCAGCCTACCCCTCATGCTGGTTAAATAGGGATCACAATTATTATAGGCTGAGTTACCACTCTGTGCTAAGTAACATGGCTTGGGAACCCATTCTCTCTACAAAGTGAAGAATATTTTACATGCTGCTGGCAGTAGGGCAGAGTTAGTACTGATTCTACAAGATATACACATCTAAACACTGTGTTGCCCCCTGCCCTCTCCCAACCCTTATTATCTGTCTCTATGGAGTTTAAAAAAAAGTATTATTCAAGATACGATAGGCGCAAAGCTGACTCACCAAGAGCAAGTCAGGAAACCTACATCAGAAAAATAAAAATCTATTCAGGGAAAAGGACCAATGTGTCTTAGTCACTCCAAAGGCAAAACCCAAAGTGTGAATTCAATTTGGTGACAATGTCCTGCTGCTTGGAGAATTGACCCTTTTTTAGGGGGTCATGAGCCATCAATTTAGGTGCCTATAGACACAGTCAGAAATTACCATGAAGCAAAAATCTAGAACATTTTGGCTATTCAACTTAAAAAAAAATTGAACATCCTGGTCTAAAGAATGACAAAGATAAAACTAGCTATTCTTGTGATCTTTTCAGTGGTAAAAGTTATAAAAATTAACTGTTGCAAACTTCTAAAATGCATGTTGAACATAACGAGATGTTCAAATTTGCAAATCTTTTTAACAATTTAAATTTTGTTCCATGAATATTGTATATAAAGTAGTAGAAAGCAAAATAGAGCAGAAGAACCTCCTAGAAGTTAAAAAGAAATTGTCAATATTAGATTTATGACATGTCACTAAATAACTGATTCTTTCATTTTATAATTCCCTACCAATTAAATGTCATTCATTGGAAGATGTACCATTCCTATGTCAATTTTATATGATGGTCCTTCCACAAAAAAAAAAAAAAGCAACAAAACTCCCAATTACATCTAAAGAAGTAATTCAGAACAGTGATTCAATATCTTAAATACCAAAAAACATATTGATTGATTCCCTTTCCAACCGTTGTTGGGCAAAATGAAGATATTGCTAATCATATCCCAAATTCACCAGGTTAAGTGGAATAATGAAGCAAATATTTAACTAATTAACAAATACACACAGAAAAGGAAAGGGAAACAGACAAACAAACAGAAGTCCAAATAGCTGATAATTAAAATCCAGAAAATGTTGCTTGTTCTGATTATCAAGATAAAAACCCCAGATCATCGCTGGCATTTACATCTAGACATAGCAAGGGCTGGTGCCAAGTATCACAAACTCCCATTCATTCGTTTTAGCTTTTCCTCTATAATCCTTTGTCCAGTTAGTGTTTTAGTGTTTGTGCTTGAAAACTATTTTTTAAATGTGTTTTTATTATTCCTTAAAGAAGACATTTTGTTATTCTATCGCATGTAAGAGAAGTCAAACATGGGAGGCTGAGAAGCGGGGTACTTTGTAAATCATTACCTGAAGGCCTTCAATAGCCAATCGCAGCATGCTTGGTGTAAGTTTAGAGGCTTGCTTGAAGGTGAAGTTACTCCAGTCTATGATCAAAACAAATCCATTCACTTGAAGCTCAGGATCTTCAATCATGGCTTCTAAAGAAAGTAAGATGGCACGCAAAATATCCACCAGTGTGTACCTGTCAGCCACAGAAAAGCACTGCATTAAATCTGATGGCCACTTTTGCAGAAACTAGAGAAAGTTTTTAGCATCCTAAAAATTCCCTTTAGAATACCTCAGGAACATTAAGAAGATGTTTTGGTTTAAAAATCTTCTTTTAAGATGACATTTACTGTATTTGTTATACTCAGGGGACATATTAGAATTTAACATGCATTCTACCAAAACAAACTGCAGTGCTTTTGAAAACACTACAGTTTGTTTCATATTTTACAACCATTTCCTTTACTTCAAGGCCTTCCTGTGATTTTATAAAATCTCATTTCAACAACCCTGAAGACTAGGCAGGGTACTTTGAAACTAGCTCAAGAAAGCTCTCAGCAGTACTGACATTTCGTATCTTCACATTTGGAAAAGTTAAGAATGAGATGAGAAGGGGTTTCATCAATAAACAACAACACTGTATGTAAACAACTACGGTTAAAAGTGTCCACAGATTTTAATTACTTGTATTGAGTTTATATCATAAAGGCAGAAGAAAGGAAAAAAGGAAAGGCACAATGGACAGAAAGAAAGGGAGATCAATGAAAATAAAAGGAAAGTGTGCCTGCCTGTTATAATTTAGGGCATCAAGGTTTAGGGACTGAGTCTTTATGTTTTTCTGCCTTGCAACTTAGCATGCCTGGCACACGTAGAAACCAAATAAATGTGCTTTACTTTCCTATAAAATGGAACTAGGCTACAAGTCTAGTGCAAAAACACGAAGTCCAGATTAAGACACCGCCTCAGCTACGGCAGTGAAAGTGAGAACAAAGGAAAGAAGCAAAATCTGAGAAGTATTTTAGAGGTAAACTTGTCAAAATTTAATCCTTCATTTGATGTGAGGACTAAGATTTTGAGGGAAGAGTAAAAGATGGCACAGATTTTAACTTCAGAGCCTGAGTAAACGGTAAAATCTTTCATCAAAATCAATCATGCAAAAAGAGGATATAGTTGAGGACAGCTGGAAATGCAGAATTTGGAACAGAATCTATCATATTTGAGAAACATGTAGTACACCCAGAAAGACATATCAAGTAAGCATCTTGAAAAAGTAAATCCCACACTCAGGAGAGAGCCAAGGGTGAGAACTGCAGAATCAAAAGCATACAGCTTCTAAGTTCCAGGGAGTGAGAGAGGTGATTAATGCCCATCAGAGCTAAGAGGAAAAGGAGACGGTTATTCAAGGAGAGAATCCCAGCGTTTCAAGAAGAATCGGTAAATTTATGGAAGATGTTAACAACTTTCCATTTTTAGCAGCCTGCATTTCAAGTTTATTTTTCTACTCAGACATTCAGGTGGAGATGTCTAGGAAAAGCTAGAGAAACAAATCCTGACCTTAGGGAAGAGGTGGGGAGGGGAGGGTGACGGATTAGGAGTAGAAATCATTGGTATTTTGTGGAAGCAATGGGCTCACCAGGAAGACAGTATGAGACAGTGAGGACATATGAGAGAGTTGTTCTATTTTTACTTTTAAAAACATTTGGAGGCACATAGAGAAAGCGTAGTAGTTCAGAAAGGAAGGAATAATTAAGAGTGAAACTTTGGGCAATTCCTCACTTTCTCTGGACCTCATTTCCTCATCTGTGACATCAGTAGTTTGGAATAGAATTTCTTTTGGGTCCCAGCATCACTCAAGCAAAGGGTATGATGTCAGAAGACTTTAAGACAGGATCTCTTCCTTGTCCCTCATTAGCTGTGTGGCCCTGGACGTGCCAATGATTTTTCTTTTTCTTTTTTCCTGATGAATTTTATTTTATTGCTCAGAGAAATCATTGTCATCATTACAGCGAACTGAATGCTTCCTCAAAAACATATCTACTGGTGTTTTTCTTTTTTTTGTTTGTTTTTATTCTAGTATATTCAGCTTACAATGGCGTGTCAATTTCTATTGTACAGCATAGTGTTTCAGTCATACATAAACATACATATATTCATTTTCATATTCTTTTTCACTATAGGCTACTATAAGATATTGAATATAGTTCCTTGTGCTATACAGTATAAACTTGTTGTTTATATATTTTATATATAGTAATTAGCATCTGCAAATCTCAAACTCCCAATTTATCCTTTCCCACCCCTTTTGCCCCTGTAACCATAAGTTTGTTTTCTATGTCTGTGATTGTTTCTGTTTTGTAAATAAGTTCATTTCTGTCTTTTTTTTTTTTAGATTTCACATATGAGTGATATCATATGATATTTTTCTTTCTCTTTCTGTCTTACTTCACTTAGAATGACATTCTCCAGGTCCAACCATGTTGCTGCAAATGGCATTATTTTATTCTTTTTTATGGTCGAGTAGTATTCTATTTTATAAATACACCACAGCATCTTTATCCAGCCATCTGTTGATGGACATTTAGGTTGTTTCCATGCCTTGACTATTGTAATTCTGAGGCTTAGTTCCCTCACGTGAAACAATGATAGTACCTATGATTATCTCACCTGTATCTCACTGGCAACGGCGAGGTGGGAGGAGGGGGAAAGGGAAGGAAAATAAAGACATGGTTCAGGTAAAAGCATTTGCACAATGCTAGGTATACAGCATGAGTTCAGTACATGAGGGCTGCAATACACACACAGCATACTTTTCATTATAATGCTGACCATAGACCCAGTATACTAGGCAGGGTATCATCAGAACTAAAGAATATCTGTAAATTTTACTTAAAAATGAATGATGAGCTTTAAATAGCTTATTACTACTGTGAAAGGCAAGGATCAAGAGATTATTTTTAAATCTCTGGAAAGTATACAGGCTCTTTATAGGCCTAAGGATATGGCAGCCCAAAATACTACATAAATATATAAGATAAAACTTTTTGTAGAACTCTGTTACTTACATGTCTTTAAATATGTGTAATCTGTATAGCTGAATTCCTTTATCTATCACTTCATGGCAGACTCATCTCCTTTTTAAATATAATAGCCTAACACAGTATTATGATCAAAAGTCTATAAGCCCACACAGACTGCAAAGTTGGAGCAGGAAGGTTGTACTTCTGGTTAAAATTTAGACCCCCTCTAAAAAAATTCACTTTAATTTCTGAAATTCACAATAAAGTCATGGTTAAGAAAATTTAAAATTAGAACAAGCCAACTTAGAACTTTCCTACCTTTATGATCATTCTTATGTTACCTATAAGAATACCTGATAGCACTAATACCAAAATAGCATTAAGTAAAACTTGAATCTGAAACCAATTTTGGAAGGATGACACATTGTATGTAGTAAGAATATACTCTGACATCAGTAAGGGCTGAAAACAAGTGGCGATTTGGTTTTAGTAATGCATTTTAGGTATGGTTTTCCAAACCTGTGTCAAACCAAGAGAAAAACTTACATACATGTCATTATTCCAAAGGAAATAAAATAAGGCAAATCCCAGGATTACCTATGAAGAAAAGCAGGTTTGCAAAGTTTTCAAGAGTAAAT